TGGGAACAAGGGTCAGGAGGGACAGGACAAGAGAGAATGGCTTCCCACTGCCAGAGGGCAGGGTTAGATGGGATATTGGGAAGGAATTCCTGTCTGTGAGGGTGGTGAGGCCCTGGCACAGGTTGCCCAGAGAAGCTGTGGCTGCCCCATCCCTGGAAGTGTCCAAGGCCAGGCTGGACAGAACTTGGAGCAACATGGGCTAGTAGAAGGTGTCCCTGCCCATGGCAGGGGGTGGAACAAGATGAGCTTTAAGGTCCCTTCTGACCCAAACCATTCCATGATTCTCTAACAGCATCCCAAGTTTTGAAAGCACTACAACCTCGCCATCTTCCACAACTGAAGCAACACCTCAGCCAGAGTCTATCTAGAGCATATTATTCTGTTTCAATACTTTCCAATATTATTTCTTTTTCTTTTTAATTGCAACTCCACCTTTGGGATTAGTGATTTTATTTTATGATGGGATATTAAGAAGAGGCAGCCAGACCTTTCTTTTTTTTTGGTCCAAGCCTGTATTCAGAAGGAATAGATTAAATCATTAAATACACACAAGCACAGGAAACACAGGAAACTCTCAGCCATTATCCTGTGAAGACAATGCCAATGCAAACACAGTAATAAAATATTCTTCACTGAAATCAACACTAATTTTCCAAGGCAATCAAATCCATCCCTGTGATCCCTCCTCCCAGGGAAAACAGCCAGCACGGCTAAATCCAGATCTATGTGGCTCCATGCTTAAATTTGGCTCAGACACGCTGCAAATCAATGACTCCAGAAATGTTTTCTAAGGAAAAATTCCCGACGGGCAACGTTTGCTACAGCCCCCGGCACTTCTCCTGACACAGCAGCAAAGCCTACGGAACTGCATCGATCCAGGGCTCCAGGAAGGCTGAAGAGTCAAGTTACAGACTTGTTGAGGCCACCTTGAGCACTGTTTGGAGATGGCTGCATGTGCCCAAGGGGAGCTCAGCCATGAGGAACACCCCCAAAGGACGAGGATCCACCAGCAGCCCAGAAACACCATCGAGTACTTCCCAACCTCTTTCCCGGTCAACCCACAGAGGGGAAGAAGGATGTGATGTTACAAAGGGATAAAGCAGGTGATCAGTAACCTGGCCAACACTGGGAGGAGAGGACATGTGACATTTGGGGTTGGAAGGGACATTGAAGACCATCCAGTTCCAGCCCCCTGCAGTGACATCTTAAACTAGACCAGGTTGCTCAGAGCCCCATCCATCCAGATCTTGAATGTTTCCAGGGATTAGGTACCTACCACCTCTCTGGGCAACCAGAACTGCCCTTCCCCATCTGCCTGCAGTTTGTGGATTGCCCATGCCAAGGGCTGTGCTCATTTCTCACATAACTCCCGCTCTTGTTTCCAAAAAACTGTTGGTACCTCTCTGATGTCCCTTAATTCTTACATGGTAAGACACTGAATAAACATCACCCCAGGGTATTTTAAGGTGGGTGCAAACCCTCCATGATTTCTTCGAGGATCTTGTAGCACCATATCCTCAAGCCCAACAGTTCTAAAACCATGGCAAAATAATAACAGAATCATAGAATTATTTAGGTTGGAAAAGACCTTTAAGATTACCAAGCCCAACTGTCAACCCAACACTGCCAAGGCCACCACTAACCCAGGTCCCCAAGTGCCATATTCACATGGCTTTTAAATTTCACCAGGGATGGGGACTCCACCACTGCCCTGGGCAGCTGTGCCAGGGCTGGACAACCCTTTTGGGGAAGAAATTGTTCCCAATATCTAATCTGAAACCCCTCTGGGGAACTTAAGGCCACTTCCTCTTGTCCCGTCCCTTGTTTCCTGGGAGAACAGACTGACTTGGCTCCACCCTCCTCTCAGGGAGTTGCAGAGAGCCAGAAATTCCCCCCTGAGCCTCTTTTTTCTCCAGGCTGAGTCCCTCCCAGCTCCCTCAGCTGCTCCTGGTGCTCCAGACTCTTTCCCTGTCCAACACATCCAACCTTTTTACATCCAGACTCCCCAAGTCCTACAGAGCAGAGAGGGGTGATGGTCTCTTGGCCGTGCAGCAACATCAAGCTCAGAAACAGCCAAGCACTTCCATGACAGAGGCTGAATCACTTTTCTTTTTCATATCCATGGCACAGGATCAATTAACCTCTGCCTTGGCTTCTCCAGGGAATCACTTAAGAGGGGTAACAGTTAAACTACTTCATAGGAAGTGGTTTTAAAAACGTCCTGCTCTGCATAAGACGAGTTTGCCACAGAGAAGGGGAGAAAAAAATCAAGCATGTTCAGCATCTTATACATTAATCCTAGGCCTAGAGCCAGGATAATTACTGCCAGAAGGAATAAAAGCAACATAAATATAGGTTAACACACAAAGGGTCCCGTTTGCGAGGTTTTAACACATCACCAGCTCGCAGGCGGATTTGGAAATTTAATTATAGAAAGATTATAAAAGCAGGTGATACCCAAGGGGTCGTAAAAAGAATTTTACTACAGTGATGAGAAGAAAACAAAATAATAAAGAAAAAAAAAATTAAATAATCCAAATGTTTTAAATGAAGTGGGGCATCCGACGGATCTCCCGAAGCCCTTCCGCAGGATCCAGCCCAGACGGCCGCGCACGCAGCGTCCGCCACAACCTCCCAGAAACGCCATTCCAAGGGAGAGGAGATAAGTCACTCTGACAGCCTTGTGACCTTCCAGCACTCATTTGCTTAAAAACATCTTGGTTTTTTTATAGGAGGTGCTCCTTGGTCTGGTTAGAGCCTTTTTAGGATGGAGGAGGACTGTTCCGAACCCATCTTTGCTGTGCCGGTGATGTGAAATTCCTAAAAATGCTGCCTCCCATCAGGATTAATGGCACTTTTCTGCCAAGAACAGCTTTGGGGGAGGAGGATGGTTCCCTGCCCATGGCAGGGGGTTGCAATGAGATGATCTTTAAGGTCCTTTCCAACCCAGGCCATTCTGTGATCCTGTGATTAAATGTCATTGGGGTGGATTTGGGCTCTGAGTGAGCTGTTGCCAGTGAAGGAATAGCACAGGCTGTCCAAGAGATTCAGTATGGAAAAACAAGGATATTCTTTCCCATCCGGGCTACAAGAGTGTTTAAAACTCTCTGTCTTCTGTGAATGCTGCATTCTTTTCTTTAAGTAAAATGAAATACTACTACAAGGTGTGTATGAAATGAAGGAACAGGGAGAGAGGAGGATTCATTTTTTGGGATCTCTTGGGCTTCCCATTAAAATACAGACACCCCTAGAAACTGGAAATTTTAATTCTTGACCTATAAAACACATTTTTGGTGTATAAACCATATTTCTGATCTATCCAATACTTTCTACTCCAGAAGGCAGTTCTTGAAGGGTCTCTGTGAGTGATGTGGGTGCAAACTCAACACAGCCCTGACCAAGCTTTTTTCAGTCCAGCAAAACACTCTGTCATTTCTAAATGCATCATTTGGGGACTTAAAACAGCTCATGGGCTGAACTGCTCTGCTGCTCTGTTACCCTGATCCCTGGTGTGTGTGAGGAGAAAACGTTTGGAATGCTGAATGCCCGTAAAAAAGCACTTCAAAGGATCACAGACAAGGATATTTTCAGCTTTGAAAATACACATTTATTAAAAAGAAAACTTATGGGTTTACAAACATCATAAATAAAATGTAGTGCATTAAAAAAACCCTCAGGATTGATGATTAAACCTCTGGAAAACAGTAACAGGAGCCTCCTCTTTGCCTTGCTCAGCATTAGTTCCGCACATGTGGCTCTCGTAATCCTGTTTCACACCAGTTGTTTCCATCCAAGGTGGACACTACAAACCTTTTTTGTAGGTAAATATGTTCTCCAGCTTGAAAACCTACACACAAAACACCCAGAGTTGTTTGCAAGAGGGTGGTTTAAATATCTATCTATATATATCTTGACTTGAGTGCGTAGTGAGAATCTAAGATAGCACGGGGATAACAATCCATATGCCTTTGAAAGCCATATCCCACAAAGCAGGGACATTATGTACGTGGCACGGGGATGAAATGGGAGGCAGTAATGGAAATGCAAATTGAATCTCAGTATCAAGTGAGCAGCACTAAATCAGAGGCTGCACCACACGGCCGCGGCGCAGACGGAGCCGTAAGAAGCCGAGTCCCCTGAGACATGTAAAACTGGATTAGACATGAACTTCAAACCCAGCGTGATGTGGAATAATCCTATGCTGGCAGAAAGGGATCAAAGCTAATTTCTCTAACTTGCTTAATCTTCTGCAGAGATGTCTGAACTCGGGAGACACACCAGGCTGGGAGTTAAAGCCTCACTCTTTTAGAGGGTTCAGCAGCGGCTCAGCGAGAACAGAGCAGGTTAAATATCCCAGAGAGTGGAGTTACTTCTGACAAGCCCTTATGGAATCACAGAGTCACAGGATGGTTTGGGTTGGAAGGAACCAAAAAGATAATTCAGTTTCACACCCTGCCATGAGCAGGGACACTTCCCACTATCCCAGGTTGCTCCAACCTGGCTTTGAACACTTCCAGGGATGGGGCAGCCACAGCTTCTTTGGGCATCCTGTGCCAGGGCCTCACCACCCTCACAGGGAAGGTTTTCTTCTTAAAATCTCATCTAAATCTTCCCTCCTTCATTTTAAAGCCATTCCCCCTTGTGCTATCACTGCTTGCCCTTGTCAAAAGTCCCAGTTTCTTTTGTGGAACCCTCTCTGCTAAAAGAAGCCTCATTTGGTCCATGAGGATATCACAGTTTCCATCCCACTCCTGAGATCAACTGAGCTTGAACAACTCGTTGGCCAAACCCTCCCACTTCCCTCTGCTGTTTTCTGTGGCAGCTCCTCCAGATCTTTTCCTGCCTGGGATGGTTTAATTTGCTCTGTGCACATTTATTTGTATGTGATTGGATATTGGGAAGAAAACCTTCCCTGTGAGGGTGGGGAAGCCCTGGCACAGGTTTCCCAGAGAAGCTGTGGCTGCCCCATCCCTGGAAGTGTCCAAGGCCAGGTTGGATGGGGCTTGGGGCAACCTGGGATAGTGGGAAGGTGTCCCTGCCCGTGGCAGGGAGTGGAATGAGATGAGCTTTAAAGTCTCCTCCAACCCAAACCATCACATGATTTTCTCTCACCTGGATCAGGTCTGCTGACTTATAATTACAGCAACTTAAAATAACCCAAGCAAACAACAAAAAAAAAAAGAATCCACTCCTTCCCGACATTTAATGAAACACATTGATCCAAGCACTGGAACATCTCACCACCCATAAAAACCTTTCAGACCTAAAAAAAAAGAAGAAAAGAAAAAAATTGAATAAATAGTAATGCTCAAATATTAACTAAACCATTTTCTATCAGTTAAAGCTTAAACGGTGAAATAAAAATTGAAATAATGCTTTAGACCAACAGGAACTGAACCACTTGACAAAAATCTGCTTCTAAGTACAACAGGTGTATTTTTCCCTGTGGTGTCCTCTCACATTCCTATTTATTAGTGGAAAAAATTCAGCAGAACTGGAGGAATAGAGTATTTGCTTGACAAAATTAAAAATTCTACGACTACTGGTCACAGGGCTCAGATCCAGGACAAGGTGTTGCATTTGAGCAACCTGGTCTAGTAGAAGGTATCCCTGCCCGTGGCAGGGGGTTGGAACAAGATGAGCTTTAAGCTCCTTTCCAACCTAAAACATTCTAGGATTCTATGGAATCAGCAAGCCAGCTTCCCTGCTCCATAGCCAAGGCCATCCTGTGCAGCAGGGAAGTTTTGCAGCTCTCCGTGGGATATTGTAGCTTATCACCCAGGGAATAAAATGCCAGAGGCACCAGAGGATGTTCAAGGATCCCTGATGGGGTGGGGAAGCTCATCCCACCAAAGGTCTGCTGTCTGAGGTGGGTATCCAGTCAAAGCTGGAATCAAAAGAAGGATTTCTAGGAGAGGACACATGGAGTGTTGCCAACTGAGAGAGAGCCAAGACAAGTGGCTCTGACTCGACACCTCCCTTAGAATCACTGAATCCTTTAAGTTGGAAAAAACCTCGGAGATCATCAAGTCCAACTGTCCCAGCACTGCCAAGGCCACCACTAAACCAAGTGCCACATCTTTTGAACACTTCCAGGGACGGTGGCTCCAGCCTGTTCTAATGCCTGAGCACCTTTTCAGCGAAGAGACAGATAAATGAAGTCAGTTGGAATAAAAAAATCCCAGCAGGGTAAATTAACCATTCCAAAGGCTTTAAAAAAATATTGTACAAGTGGGTACCAACTCCACCTTATACTCGGACAGGAATTGGGATATCTAGCTTGGGATGAGACATCCTTCCACACTCAGTGCACCATTTGTGCTGCTAAAAGGATGCTGCTAACTGAGAAACCCAGTGCTCCAGGAGAAATAGCCTGCTTTGAGGTGTAAATCAACTCATCTAAAAACGATCCTGCTGGATAAAAAGCACAAAAAATTACGTACAAGGAGGCTCAATCACCTCAAATAACGATCAGCCATAAGTGGACACATTACACCACAGACATGACTCTGCTCTGTTAAATATTAATTTAAATGGACACATTTAAAAAGACATGTACTTAAAATATGGATAAGCACTTTTGGTTAGAAGAGAGCAACTCCTGTCAGTGAGTAAGAAAGGAACAGCTCAGAGAGCAGAATGAGGAATTTCATGCAAGAGCAATCCAGGGATGAGAAAAATGTATGGTACATACGCACATATGTGTTTGTGCATTCAGTGCAGCTCTTCTAAATTAACTCCTTTCTTCAAAATCCTGAATTGAAAGCTCAGTAATGTGATATATTGCTGTCCTCCAGAACTGTAAGATTATTCAGCTTTAAAAGATTACTCTTGTGTGGAGTAACACTCTGCTAAAACACACACTCGAGCTGGAACGAGCACGGATTTGGCTGCGACTCGGAGCAGGCAGCGTTAGAGGCACGAGTCTGGCACTTCAAAATGTGAAGAGACTTCTCTCAAAAGCTTCACACACGCCCCCTAAATAAACCCTCTGCCAAAACACAGCAAATACTCTCTGTAATAGACCAATCTGTGAAGCTTTTTTTTTTTTTTTTTTGGCTTCTTTAAGTTGCAGCTCAAGGAGTACTCGGGAAAGCTCTGCTGTGAAATATCAGCCCGAGCACGGGCCTGCCTTGTTTCCTCCACTGGGGACAATTTACAGGCAGATTTGGTGCATTTGCCAATTATCTGCCTAGACAAAACTTGATTTCATTCTTAGTCATTCAATGATAACCCAAATCACTTAATGGTTTGGGTTGGAAGGGACCTTAAAGCCCATCTCATTCCACCCCCCTGCCACGGGCAGGGACACCTTCCACTACTCCAGGTTGCTCCAAGCCCTGTCCAACCTGGCCTTGAACGCTTCCAGGGATGGGGCAGCTACAATTTCTTAGAAGTTTTTTGCTTGGTAAAACTCCCCTCTGCTCTCAAAGCACTTTTTAGGGAATTACAGGATATCCAGGACTTTACACACCATGGAAAACCCAAAGTAAAGTAAAGAGGAGCTTTGCAGAGAAGCAGCAGCTGTGTCTGAAGACAAGCAGAGGAGTGAGAGCACAACACAAGCCTTTCTTTTTCTCATTACCATTTTGTTGGAAGTTTTCCAGCACGTTGATCTCCTACAGCACCTTCTATGATGGAATCAGGTGACGTCAAAACAACCCCAATTCTGCCTTAACGCCTCGTTCTCTCTGGTTTAAGCTAAAAACAAAGACACAGATGGGATGATTATGGAATGGCAGGCACAGGAAACTGAAAAGAATGGTTTGTTGGACTGGAAAATAACAGTGAAAATAAACAAATAAACAATCAATAAACAAATAAAACAAGAGACAAAAATGCTTCATCTTAAATGATGGATATAAGTATATACATTAAAATATATACACATTGGAATACATGGCTTATCAAAAACATATAATGGAAATATATAGTATATAATGGAATAGTGTAAGTGTATATATATGTATAAATAGTATAGTATATAGTATAATACCGTATATACTGGAAATATACAGTAATATAGTAAATATATTTGTATATAATACATATACAATAGTATATAGAATAGTGTATACATATTTACATACACACATATATATACACACTTACAATGGAAATACATGGTGTCCTTCCAACAGATGATAGAAATGAATAAAAATTTGTTTACAGGAACTTAAAACATGCTGCCACAGTGTATTCCTGATTTTTGGTTTCGGTCCCAAACAACCCATTTGGGGAGGGGGGAGGATTATCAGTGGCTTATTTGTCACCCTGAATTACCTGTGCTGCGTGTGTACACAAGCACCAGCTTAAACATTCAAAGGAATTGCCTCCAAGAAAAGTCATCTTTATTGGCATTGTCCCCAATTTCACGGCCAGGGCACCAACACAGCCCCCACTTTGAGGAATCCACACTGACATGACAAGAACTAATCCTATTATTTCCTTAACGGCGTCTGAATAGGCATTTTCCAAGTCCTGCTTCTTATTGTGAGTTTAACCCGTGTGTTAATTCTCTTACTGAGATCTCAAGCTGCTTTCTCTAGAATCAGGGATTTAAGGGAATCAAATCCCTTCTATTCAATTTCCTACTTAAGAGACAAACCTTTCAAAATTAAACTTGCAGGCTGTTTGCCTTCAAAACATTGCTCCTCTTCCCCAAGAAAATATCTCCAAAGCCCGTTTTAAGCACAGAGAAAAGAAGTTTTTTAGCATATCTCAAGTTTAGACCTGACAGCAGTTTGGGCAGCTGCCTTGAAATAAGAACCAGGACAGCAGAAATACAACATGGGAAAGATTTTCAGGTGATTTTGATGCCAATTTGATGAGTAAACAATCAAGCAGAGCTTCATTAGAGTAAATTATTTCCTGTTGTTGTGATTTTCCTCCGATAAACCACCATAATGGAATGGTTTGGGTTTCGAAGGGCCCTTAAAGATCACTCAGTTCCAACCCCCTGCCATGGGCAGGGACACCTTCCACTATGCCAGGTTGCTCCAAGCCCCATTCAACCTGGCCTTGGACACTTCCAGGGACGGGGAATCCACAATTTCTCTGGGCAACATTCAAAGGTGACCAAGTGGGAAAAGATTTGGGCAAAACCCGACCCCTCATAGACATTTCACTTGGCTGAAGAAATTTTTGTGCTCAGGGGAGTTTCCTTTTCTGTAATCAAATATTAAAACATGAAGCCCCATGAAAACAAACACCTTATTCTACACACACTTTCTGTGCTTTCCAGCAGAGCCACAACAGCACATTTGCTGTGGGTCTGCAGGACCTTATAGGCAGCACATTAAATATTGATTAAAAATAAATCCAAATAATTAGGCTTCAATTTCAGTACCCCGTGTACACCTCTCCGTAATTCATCACGAACGGCATTTTCTGAGGTTCCACGAGAGGCTCTGGGTTTAATTTTAATTATGCATTTATTACATAATTCACCAAATTCAGTAATGTGCAGTGAAGTCTCCCAGCCATTCAAGTGAGTAACGAGATTTATCAGCCCAGTTTGTCACACAACAAACGGGATTCAGAGCGTTCTAAAGGCGGGTGATGAAGGAGACACGGAGGGAGGGGAGAACCAGCGGCAGCTTTATTGCCATGTAATAATGCTAATAATATGCAAATAATTCCCCATGTTAATGAATGCTCCAGATGAATGGCACGTTCCAAATGGAGATGGCACGTGGAACGCCCGCGCTGAGAGAGGGAACGCGGAGCTCAGCTGCTGGGAGCGCTCAAAGATCTTTTGGAGCCATGAGGTTACGACTGAGCATCCATTTTTCATCCAGAGGGTGGTCAGGTACTGGAACAGGATCTCCAGGGAAGTGGTCACAGTCTCCAAGCTGCCAGAGCTCAAGGAGTGTTTGGACAACGCTCTGAGGGAGATGGGTGGGAGGGTTGTTGGAGTGTCCTGGGCAGGACCAGGAGTGGGACTGAATGATCCTTGGGGATGCCTTCCAACTTAGGATATTCCACGATTCCATGATCCCCACCTGTCCCATTGCAGAAGGTATCTAAGAACTTCAAGCTCCTTACATGTGACAATCACACCAAAGTCACCTCAAAAATGTGCGTGATTTCCAAAATACAAAGGGATGCACACACACACACCCTCTAGGGATCCCCATCCAGCCTCTGGAACACAGCTCTTAGGGAGCAGACAACATCCAAACCTCCAGTGGTCTGGGACTTGCTGCACACACACATCCCCTCTAGGGATCCCCATCCAGCCTCTGCAAAACAGCTCTTTTGGAGCAGACAACATCCAGTGATCTGGGACTTTCTCTCTTAAATACTTCTTTTCAAAGCTGCATTTGGAAGTTTGTCCTGAATCTCTGCAATTATTAGGAGAGTGAGTCTTGCTGTCCTTCAAAACATTTTGATGAATTTTTTTACCGTTCCCAAACCCCTTGCAAACTTCACCCCCTTTCAGGAGGCATCATCTCCCCTGGGACAAGCCAGTGATACTGGATATTTAGCTGCCATGCTCTTCTCTTCCCCTACTATTTTATCCTCAAACATCTCCTGGGAACTCAAATATTTAAGATTTTAGACTTGTAACCTGCCCACAAAGCAAAGCCATCCCCTGTCTGCACCATCCCTTCCCATGTTCTCACTTGAAACCCACTTTTGTCATTCCTTTTCAGACACCCCTTTCATTCAGCTTCCCACATCCACATGTGTCCTCTCTGATTTCCAGTCTATCTCCTCTCTCAACAAAGCCTTAGGAGGAACAGGAACCTTCAGGGTGTCTCCTCCCTCTGCCCTCTAACAGCCAAATTGGGGCTCAGGCCCTGTGTCCATGACTAGAGACACCCATGGACAACATGACCTTGTGTCCTCCCTGCAGCTGAGACCCTTCCTACCCTTCTTCACAGAATCACAGAATCCTCTGAGCTGGAAGAGACCTCCAGGATCATCAATTCCAACCTGTGCCCAATCCTCACCCTGTCCCCCAGCCCAGAGCACTGAGTGCCACGTCCAGTTGTTCCCTGGACACCTCCAGGGATGGGGACTCCACCACCACTCTGGGCAGCCCCTTCCCATGTTTAACAACCCTTCCGATGAAGAAATTCCTCCTGATGTCCAACCTGAACCTCCCCTGGCACAGCTTGGGGCCGTTTCCTCTCGTCCTGTCGCTTGTTGCTTGGGAGAAGAAACCAACCTTCACCTGGCTCCCCCCTCCTGTCAGGGAGTTGGAGAGAGTGAGGAGGTCCCTCCTGAGCCTCCTTTTCTCCAGGCTGAGCTCCCCCCACCAGTCCCTCAGCCACCTCTTTATGATTTAACTCCCTAGACCCTGAGATTCCACGGAACATAAATGCTTAAAATCCGCTGCAGACACGAGAATTCACCCTGATGCTCAATGGTGGCGGTGGGTCCTCCTTTACTCTCATCCTTGGGGAAAGGCAATAGTGTGAACCTCTCATTTCCCAGGATCTGCACAGAGGAGAGGTCTGGAAATGAGAGAAAAACCTTCCAGAGCTCTGCAACTCCCTCCTGGGTCTGGAGCAGCCGAGCGTGAGCCCCGAGCCCCCGGGACACCAGGCTTCATTAGTCTGGCACTCACAGCACTGCTCAGGAGACATCCCAACTGGAAGGCAACAAAACAGGCCTTTACCAACCTCCCCTCTACAGCTCCAACACTATCACAGGACTTTACTGTGAAATCATAGGTCTTTTAAGTATTTTCCTTAATTTGACCTCAGAGGGAAATCTGCTGCTTTCGCTGGGAGGTGGAACCAGCAGAGAGAGGACATTTTTCACCTTCTGATCCAATATCAGCAGAGTTCACTGAACACTCAGCCACTGCCTGACCTGAAAAATAAACTCAACCCTCATTTTTACTTAAAAGATGCCTTTAGACATCAGATTATAGTAGGCTGTAAGCAGATATTTACTAAAAAATATCAAAGCTGTGAAGGAAAGAAATCCTGAGCCAGGAAAAGCAGAGGGACTGTGTCGTACACACTGAAATGCATCATTTTCAAAATTAAGAGAGTAAATTTACCTGTCCTCATGACCCAGACAGAACCAGCCTATCGGTCAGCAGGACTATAGGAACATCTTACAGTGGTTTGGGTGGGAAGGGACATTAAAGCTCATCCAGTTTCAACCCCCATTCCACGGGCAGGGACACCTTCCACTATCCCAGGTTGCTCCAAGCCCTGTCCAACCTGGCCTTGAACCTGGCTAAGGTTAGATGGGATACTGGGAAGAAATCCCTCCCTGTAAGGGTGGGGAGGCCCTGGCACAGGTTGCCCAGAGAAGCTCTGGCTGCCCCATCCCTGGAAGTGTCCAAGGCCAGGATGGATGGGGCTTAGAGCAACCTGGGCTAGTGGAAGGCGCCCTTGCCCATGGCAGGGGGTTGGAAATCTTGCAGCAGGTCTTGAAGGGACTGTTTCAAGCTGTTCATTGATCACAGAATGCAAATAAAATAAAGGAAGATGGACAAACAAGCAACCAGAGCAGCACATTTAAGCTCCCAGGTGGGGAAACATCACTTAATAAGGGAGCTTTGTGGGCAGCACCAGAGCTGGAAACCTTTCTTGTACCTCCACAACCAGCACTTGAAGCACTCACTGTGTTGACACAACAGAACGTGGCTCAATTTCAAGCACCGTTGAGGTTGAGTAATTTCAAACATCTTTTAATGTTTGTAGATAGTCCAAAGGGAAGTTGGCTGAAAAAGATCTCCAAGGCACCCACGTGGAAATAGATACAAACCCCTCTGAGTCATTACGGTGCCAGGCAGGAGAGAGGAATGGAGACTGAGGAGGGAAAAGGGGGATGGTGAGGATCCAGACTTCCAGCTAAACTGCTTAAAGCATTTATTTATGTCCAGCACCGCCACTACAAGTTTATGCCTTGGGGAGCAATAACAAATCAATTCCATCAACCTGGATTGGTATTCCAAAAGGAAAATTTTAAGCATGATCCGCACTCCTCTTCCCTCTCATGGCAAGAATACTCACATCAGAGGGAGGTCATTCCCTGGTTTTCTTCTGGGTAGCAAGAAAGTCACAGCAGAAATCAGATAAGACATTAATACAGCTGGATTTATCCAGAATATTACACACCAGGACATCAGTGCTTTTACTGGAAATCTGGGAAAGGCTGCTGATAAACCTGGGCTGGGAACAACACATGCCAGGGAAAACAGACAGCCACTCATCTACAGAGCTTCCCCTGAACTGCTGAGGTCAAGGGAGAGCTTTGTGAAAGTCTAAATTAAATTCAGAAAGGACAAAATTAGCTGCTCAATGTTAATATTAGAGCAGCTTCCAGAGGGGGATCCAGCAGCAGGGCTGCCCTGTGCCAAGGGGTGGTTCCAGGGGGTTAGAGAGGCTTTTGGGGAAAGGTGTGGGGAAGCCAACACATGGGAATGTGAAGGACCTCCAGCAGCATATCAGCATCTTCTACATCAAATCCATGGCTCAAATCAGGTTCTTTGGATACACAAAAGTAACCTGAGAGGAGCAAAAGGGCTTTTTGGATATTGCTGGCTGCTGAACGTCCCAATTTTAACAGATTTTTTTTCTCCAGTTCACAAGCATTACAGAGAATCATGGAATCACAGAATTGTTAAGGTTGGGAAAGACCTTTAGGATCACCAAGTCCAACTGCTGAGGTCAAGCCAGTATCCCAGCAAGGAATTTCAGGGCAACAAACAGTAAAACCAAACCAGCACTTGGTCACTCATATTATGAGAATTCAGAATAAGGAGATCTATCCCAAGAACATCCAGAGAAACACACCTACTTCTGGATATCCTATTAAAACAGGGATCCTCTGCAAACATATCTAGGAATGCCACCAACACATCAGTTATTATGTCACAGCCAAGAATTCCTTCCCAATATCCCATCTAGCCCTGCCCTCTGGCAGTGGGAAGCCATTCACCCTTGTCATGTCTCTCCAGGCCCTTGTCCAAAATCCCTCTCCAGCTCTCTTGGAGCCCCTTTAGGCACTAGAAGGGGTTCTAAGGTCTCCCTGGAGCCTTCTGTTCTCCAGGTTGGACACCCCCAGCTCTCCCAGCCTGTCTTCATGGAGATGGCTCCATTTTTATGGGAAAATAAATGGCAGCAGGACTGTCAGATTTGTTCTGGATCCAGGGATGGGGACAACTGTGCAGCTCCACCCTGAGCCATCGAGTCTGTTCCAGACATCTCTTCCTGCATCCCAGCTCCTCTGGGAGCAATAGTATCACTTCTAGGAAAGCAAAGTTAAATCCTTCCTGTCATTTGCTTTCTTCAGGAGATGATTCCTCACCTTGTACAGCTCCACACAGCTATCCCAGGATCAGGATAGTCCACACTGCTGAAGTTACTCCTCCTATGCCTGATCTGACACCTAAACACCCTGAAACCCTTTCCTAAGGGAATATTTTCCTCAGTGCAGCCCTCCAGAGCACAAACTACTCCTCCAAGCCTCTATTAATGTGCCATTTGCTTATCCCCAGCAGAGGTAAGGAGCAAATCAGCACCTCTGTGGTTCTGTCACAGATGCCACAGGATCTTCCAGGCAGACAGACTGTAAGTGCTGCCCTGCTGGGACACTGCACTTCACATTCCGAGGATCACGATTCCGGCATTAGCTGGGGGAACACCACCAACAAAGAGTTGTTTGTCCAGCCTGACTTCTCCAGCTTCCATCATTTCACATTTTGATGCAGATTCTTACTGTGAGGAAACTCATCCCTGCCCAGCTCACTCTGACACCACATTAGTTCCCACAAGGCTGTGACACACAGATTTTTCCTTCAAAAAATGAGGAGTGTCAGCATTTTTGTATCACTCTTCTGGAAAAACAGTGATCTTAACTCCCCCCTTCCAAAAGCTGGAGCACATTTCACAGCAACTCCACTTTGTCAGGCCACAGTGAAGTCACAAATCAGCCTGGCAGGTGGAAAAGGAGTTTTTAATGTGTTTTTAGGGTCGACATCGCTGGGGGAGCAGAAGAGGATCTCTTCCATGTTCAGGTTCCTGTACAGCTCTCTCCTGCCTGAATGCAAAATAGTCTCAGCTGAATTTCCCTAATTCCTTCAAAGGCTCCCTTACACTCATCTCCCCAGATTATGCAGTAAATACTCTTTAGGAGAGCACTCTGTAACCCCAACAAGGCTGTGCAAAAAATAAGGTTTAACCAGCTGACCCCTGATTATCTTCAGCAGTTCATCCATCTGTCTTCAAAACATAAATTCCAGCCTCAAAGCAAGGCTTCCTTAAGGGGTTGGAACTGCATGTTAATATTTACAATGCTCTTTGGATACATGAAAGTACCCAAACTGTCCCCAAAAAAAGCTCAGGGAGGGCTGTGAATGGTTAAACCCTTCTTGAAAGCCACCATGTCCCAGGTACATCACATTTAAGGAGTATTTCTGCTCTCGGGTGATAAATCAGCACCACTCCATCAGGGTCTGCCCCCCTGTCTCACACTTGCACAAGATCAGCCCAAATGAGACGAACCCAAACCTTAAATGTAAATTAACTCCCACACTGTGACTTTAGGAAGAGTCCTTTCAATGGCTCTGCCTTTTGTAGTGACAGTGTTTACAAAATTTGGGAGCTGTGAAGAAAACTGGAATTGCTCAATGGCAGCTTTCCCTAAGTGCAGCAGCCTGCAAAATAAGTGAAATTTGATACTAAAAATTAGTGAATTGTTTGCCTGAAGGCTCCTCCAAAGGTGGAGCATCTCCAAGATGCTGGAGCATCATCCTCTGGCTCCTTCATGCCCTCCTCTTTCCTTGACAGCTCTGTAGTGATTCCATCTGGGCTGCAGGAATCATGGTATCTACCAGGAAACTTAAGAGTTATCTCAAACCTCCTGGGGCACCACAAACTTGAAGTTTGTCCTTCTGCCTCAGGTTATTTTGGTTTTTAGTTGCAATCAGGAGTTCACTCTGCTACCGACCACAGAATCCCAGAATGCTTTGTGTTGGAAGGGACCTGAAAGATTATCCAGTTCCACTCTCCTGCCATGGGCAGGGACACTTTCCACTATCCCAGGTTGCTCCAAGCCCTGTCCAAGCTGCCCTTGGACACTTCCAGGGATGGGGCAGCCACAGCTTCTCTGGGCAACCTGTGCCAGGTTCTTCAGACACTGCCATGATTGTAGACTCAGGGGGAAATTTCAGCTGTTCCAGCCCTCTAAAAGTGGTGTTTCACCTTTTCCAGCCTGGTATCCAGGCTATTTAACATCCAATACAAACACTGTAGGCAGCTTTTGCATTTCAAGGGCTTCCACTGAGTGCAAATTACAAGTCAGGTCTCTTTAGGACCAAATCTGTCTTGCTGTGCATTTGAAAACACCCAGAGAGATCCTGATGCTGGCAGGGGCTGGAGATTGTTTTGATCAAAAGAGGGAAAAAATGCACAAAGATATCTTAAAGAAAGGGGAAGATGGAGCAGGAGCCTTCAGATGGAAACAGGAAAAATATCAGAGGAAGAGGAAACCACAGAACACCAGTCTGGGAAACAAAAGACCTGTAAGAGGCTGGTTGTGGTTTTGATTAACAATCCCTGCTCAGGGCTGGAGCAACAGGAGCATCTGTGAGCAAAGCCATCACTGTGAGTTGTTGGAGGAAGGTAGGAGCTGCTTTCCAGGAGAGATGAGCTACAGGGAATCTTCACACACCCGTTATCCATGAGGAAAGAGAGCGGAGCACTTGCCTGTGGAAATGATTCTTGGCTCAGGAGTGAGACAGTGCTGGGAGAGTGGAAGAAGTGCCTACACTCAATTACAGAGCCTTAACGAGTCTAAGAATAGAGGAATAATTTATTGGCTTTCACCCTGAATATTTGGAGGGTTTTTCATTTCAGGAGAAAAGGAGGATGGAAACTCCCAGTGACACACGATGGGGCACCCAGCTGGTTCATAAAGAGCCACAGATCTTGTCTTGCACCTCCAAATCCCAATGATGCAGCTGGATCCTGGATAAAACAAACCACATGAGGTGCCACCTCTCAGCCTGAGGTCAGCAGCAGTGTAAGAGGGGGACTGGGTGCACTTGTAGCCACCTCCTGTGTTTTGTAATACTCACAATCTGTCCTCCTGTAAAGAAACTTCGGGATATCCCTGGAAGTGTTCAAGGCCAGGTTGGATGAGGCTCGGAGCAACCTGGTATAGTGGAAAGTTCCCTGCCCACAGCAGGGGTTTGGAATGAGATGAGCTTTCGGGTCCCTTCCAACCCAAACCATTCTGTGATTCTGTGATATAACAGAGCAAATTCTCTCCCTCCATCTTGAATTAAATCTAAGCCTGAAAAGCGGTTGCATTTGGGTGGTGATACGTTAAAGTGCCTGTAAAGCATTTTAGGATCCTTCAGGAAAAATGCTAAATGTCTGTTCTGTAATTCAATGAACGCTAATATATTCATCACAGATTTCGACTCTCCAATTGCACGGGGGAAAAACAAGAAAATTGGTGCTTGCTGAAACACTACGATGCCAAGGGATGGAAGCGGTCCAGGATCTCGGAATATTCAATCAAGTTTTGCATGGGATGCAGTGAAAGATCTCATCAGAACACACACAGAGCCCGTGTGGTGCGGGATAAGGAGCGAGGTCACACTCAGGCACGCTGGGTTTGACCTGAAAGTGCCAAAAAGACAAGCCAGATGCTGCTTCACCTTTCTGTGGTTGCCAAAATTTAAACCCAACCTTCCTCTGTGCTCCCCCCAGTGAGGGCTCTGGTCCTGCTTGTCAGGCAGAGCCAAGTTAATCCTTCTTCTTGCTCATTTTTCACTCTGTGCCCTTCTAAAAACCTGCACCTGAGCTGCCTCCATGCACCGGCAGCTTTTGCCTGACATGACCTCGTGAGGACAGGGCTGGGGACCACAAAGCAGGAGCACTTGCCCTCTTTTCCCAGCACACCATTCACTGCTACTCCTTGTGGGCTGAGAGGTATTTTTGTTCGCTGCTGAGCACGTAACTGCCCTCCTTTGTTCAGGCTCTTCAGTCTCCCTGCAAACAGGAGAACCCACTGCTTTCCCGGTGTGCTCAGACGGAAAGACTCTCAGAAATGTCGTTCATTTAACGGGCTCAGAGCTATTTCAGGAGGTGCTAAATTAGGGGAGTGTTTGAAACTCGCTCCCCTCAGTAATCAGCGCTCACACACCTCCTGCTTTTACACCTTAGTGGGAAAAAATAAATCCCTGCCACAGCGTGTTCAGTGTGGGAATACTCCTGGCAAAAGTTCTGCCATTCATTATCTCCTCCAGCACATTGGGTTTCTAGGTGACTATTTAAACAAGTCACTTCAGAGGGCTGGAGCCCCTCTGCTCTGGAGCCAGGCTGGGAGAGCTGGGGGTGTTCACCTGAGGAACAAAAGGATCAGGGAGACCTGAGAGCCCCTTCCAGTGCCTAAAGGGGCTCCAGGAGAGCTGGAGAGGGACTTTGGACAAGGGATGGAGGGACAGGACAAGGGGGAATGGCTTCAAACTGACAGGGATTAGATGGGATATTAGGAAGGAATTCTTCCCTGTGAGGGTGGGGAGGCCCTGGCACAGGTTGCCCAGAGAAGCTGTGGCTGCCCCATCCCTGGAAGTGTCCAAGGCCAGGTTGGACGGGGCTTGGAGCAACCTGGAATAATGGAAGGTGTGCCTGCTCATGGCAGGGGGTTGGAATAAGATGAGCTTTAAGGTCTCTTCCAACCCAAATCATTCTGGTCTAAGATTCTATGACCTCTGTCACAAACCTCCTCCTGTTTTCCAGCCCTGCTCCCAATAACACACCTCACCCTGGCAGCTGGAGCACTGCCAAAGGGGCTTTGAGTGCCTTCACAGGAGGAGCAGGAGAAGCACTTCAAAGTGAAAGTGTGATTCTCCAGCAGTGAAGCACCCTCTCCTCCTGCCTGGAGCAAAAGCAGCCCTTCCATTCCCCTGGTTTCTAACAATATCCTCCTCCTGCTGCAGAGTTACAAAAGGCCCAACCCGAAAACCAGCTCCTAAAACAACTGTCAGCAGTTTTTAGAGCCAGTTAAGTAGTGACTGGAAGGAGAAGGGGAACAAACTGGCCTTGGAGGCAAACACCAGATCAGCTCCACTTGGCCATAGAAGCTAAAATGTTAAATAAAAATGCAGGTGCACATTGGTGAGCCCCAGAGTTGGCTGGCAAGGCACAGGGTTTGCTGGCAGATGGATGGTTGCAATGGACCTTCTTGTACAGAGAAGAGCAAGACAGAGGGTCTCCAGCTGCTCCATGGGAGCTGTCAAAAACCAGCTCTGACCCGGGGAGAAGGAAGAAGAGGATGTGTCTGCTGATTACAGGGCAAGATGCCACCTCTAAACCAGCAGCAGTCGCTTAACCAGCTGTGGGTCCAATCCAGAGATGCTCCAGGAGCTGAGGAACACACAGCCTTGCTCAGAGCTCAGCTGGAACCCTCTGGAGATCCTGGCAGATCTCCATCTGTAAAAACACTGGTGGGTGGTTTTTTTACACAGCCCTGGAGGGACAGGACAAGAGGGAATGGTATCAAAGTGGCAGAGGGCAGGGTTACATGGGTATTAGGAAGAAATTCTTCCCTGTGAGGGTGGGGAGGCCCTGGCACAGGTTGCCCAGAGGAGCTGTGGCTGCTCCGTCCCTGGAAATGTCCAAGGCCAGGGTGGATGAGGCTTGGAGCAACCTGGGATAGTGGAAGGTGTCCCTGCTCATGGCAGGGGCTTGGAACTAGAAGTTATTTAAGGTCCCTTCCCAAGCAAAGCACTCCATGAGGTGTCACAGGAACTAGATGCAACCATTAGAAGTCTCTGAAAACAACACACTCAGATGGACAATGTTGGACCAGCACAAGGTAATGATGCACGAATGGAACAGGGCTGGAGAGTGTCAGTGGGAAGTGGAAATGCAAAAGCACAGGCTGTATTCCTCCTGCTCTGGAGCAGAGAGAGCGTGTCTGTCCATGTGCCACCAACAATGCAACCAGCATTCCTTTAATTTCAATCCACTCACTGGCACTCAATCCACTGCAGTGACAGCTGTGTGACCTTCATTCTCTCACTGCCCAAGTGGGTATTTCACAGGCTTACACATCACATACCAATTGCATTTCATCACAGGTAATGAAAGCAGAGGAACAATTTAAGAACTCCAGTGTTACCATTTTCTTTTCAAATGGTAGATTAAACCAAGAAATCATTGTCTAATCTCTTTTTATTCCTTAAGCACCGGTGCATGTTGTACAGGATTTGAGAAGTAAGGAGGTGAGAGTTTAAAAATCCAAATTCCTGAGAAAACTGCTTCAGAAGTTTTCCCAGAGTTAAGTTGCCCAGCGAGGTTGTGGACTCTCCATTCCTGGAAGTGTTCAAGGCCAGGATGGAGGGAGCTTGCAGCAACCTGGACTAGTTGAAGGTGTCCCTGCCCATGGCAGGGGGTTGGAATGGGATAAACTTTAAGGTCCCTTCCAACCCAAACCATTCTGTGATTCTAAGGCAGGGTTACAACACTTTAACACCTGGTTACTCTTTTGATGTTGTTCTCAGAAAACATTTGCAAAATGGCCATTCAGGATCTCATCTTTATTATCCCAATGCCATCAATGCCACATAGATTTTGCCTCTCAGTAAATGCAGAGTATAATATTTAGATGTTTTACGGCTCCAAGCCTGGAAAATCATTTCCATCTTAAGTGCCTCGAGAAGCAATAAATCATAACATTTCAGACAGGAGTTGTTTTTGACTCAGTATTACTGAGTTAAATTACTTGTAGCATTACAGCAGAGTAATTCTGTGTGTGAGAAACGAGCAGCAGCACTTTGGTGATCAGGTTAGAGGGATATTTGTGCTAACAAGGAAATTTAAGCTCCATTCCAATGCCAGAAATCCGGAGCCTTTAGCAGTGTCTCCTCTGCTTCCTCCAGGGACCAACTGGGTATCATTCTCACATACTTCTCTGGAGTGATGAAAGCACATTATAGGCTGATAAAAGGCAATCCATGGTATTTTTTTACAGGTCTCCAAAGATCAGCAATTTATTAAAAAGAGCTTTCCAGGAACCTGGCAAAAACATAACCTTCCTCGTCAACACCTCGCACCAAATGCATCTTCCCTTAGATAAATTCCTAGAGCTGGAATACACAAAGTCACTTCCCTAATTGCTGCTGGTTTGCATTTGCAAATTCCAAGTGGTGATGCCTCCTGAAGTGGTGTTGCCTCCTCGCTTGTCAGCAGAGATTTATCAACCCCCTTCCGTGTCCAAAGGTCACACAAGCAAATCAGTAAATCCGAGTGTGCTCTGAGCAGGAATTCAGGAATCCCTCCCTCCCCAGCTGAGCTGTCCCATCCATAACAGTGCACACACCCAGGATGACACAACACAGACTAAACCAGCTTAAAAAATGAAAAACAAAACCGTAATTATCAAATAAAAGAACAAAGCAGCTCTGAGAGCTCTGCTGTTCTTTATCCTCTGGTGACTTATTCGTAACAGGTCTCCCGGGCACTGCTGTGAATTAAGAGTAATAAGGAGATGCTCCAGGGCTTGGTTAAAGGCTACTGCATCCAGCTGTGCATCTGTTGTTAGAACACAAAGAAGCCACCAAAAACCGAAGGGCTGATTCTCACTTCCCACTTTAAACCACCCCAGCAGTGTAAATGTGAGCATAAATTACACCCACACCTCCTCTAACAGCAGCGTGAACCAGCTGGAGTGGAAAGGATGATCCAGCTGAAGATTTCCAGTTAAGAACTAAAGGAAACAGGGAGTGCAGATGTTTTGTTGCCTCGTGCCTTGTGCAAGTGCTGCCTTCTGTGTGTGCTGGAGTTGCTCAGCTCTCTTTTGAGCAGCACCTGGGAGCTGCAGCATCACAGGAGACACTAAAAACCAGGCACGGAAAACAGGGAAATGCCCAACAAATGAACCACCCAAAAATTCCTTTTACTGTGTCTGCACCTTCATTGGAATAAAAATCTCTCTCCCAGCCCACCTGCTGCCGGGAAGCTCTTGGATTCAACCACACAGCTGAGAAAAGGCCCTCAGAGTGAAAAAAGCCAAGTCCCTCTATGTGAAATCAGGTGAAATCAGTTAAATCAGCCAAGTCAAGTGGAATAACCAGGCGAGGAACTCTGCTCCTTCCTGGAGTATCCTGATCCATCACGGGTCACATCATTTGACTTCAGGCCTGTTACTCCTTTGGCTTCCCAGGGCACTCTGCAGACTGAGTGACACCTCCAGTCTGCACTGACCAGGGTCACCACCTGACAACTCAACCCTTGTGGGACAGTGTCACCCCAAAAGCCCCCAACAACGATGGGTTGGCAGGGATGCAGGAGACTGGGGTAGAAGGAATAGCCTGGCACAAGGACCTTGCTCTGATGTCTTCCCAAAGGTGCTCACTCCAGAACCTGGCTGACCTTAACTGACTGTTAATATCAGTTTTTTTCATGTTGTTACTTTTTTAAACATATAAAACTAAAAACAGAAGAGGTACCCGTGCAGCTCATACACAACATGTCCCGACAGCAGTAGGGCAAGTTCAAGTCACCCTGTGATTTATTGCCTCTGGAATGTCTCACATCTAAGTCATAGAATCAGGGAATCACAGAATCATAGAACCAGCTTGGAAAAGACCTCTAAGATCCCCAAGTACAACCATTGACCCAGCACCAACACCATGTTCACCCCTAAACCATGTCCTCAAGTGCCACATCATGTTTCTTGAATACTTCCAGGGATGGTGACAAGGACATCCTACCCCAGAAATCACAGTTTTCCAGCCTTACAGTCCATAAAACCTTATTCTCTACTAATATTCTCTACCTTATTCTGTGAGGGTGGTGAGACACTGGCACAGGTTGCCCGGGGAGGCTGTGGATGCCCCAACCCTGGCAGTGTCCAAAGCCAGGCTGGATAAAGCCTTTGACCAACCCGGTTTAGTGGGAGGTGTCCCCACCCAAGGCAGAGGAGGTTGGCACTGGATGATCTTCCAACTCCTCAACAGTCTATGATTCTATAATTCTCCTTTTTTTTTGAGGGATTCTGCTTCACCACTGAGACTCCAAAATGTGGCATCTAAGCCTGTTATAATGGACTGAAAGCAGAAAAAAAATGCCAAAATACACATTCCAGGATGATCCTACCAAACTGGG